ACAAAATAATATAAAAGAACTATTTAGAGAAAGCTGAACTTCTTATGAGGTCATCGAACACAGGAAAAAATTTGTAAAGCAAAATTTTACAGTAATATATTAAAATTGTCTTTCTGAAATTGCGGTAAAATAAATGGCTACACTCTGTCCATCTAATTAACCGTTAAGTTTCTGGTAAAAAACATCTGTTTCCCTTATGACTTTTTAATATTTACAATTAACATAGAAATAATAAAATCTTATGGTGCTAACATCTATGCGTGAATGACAGTATGGTATTCTAGGTGTCCAGGGTCACAAATTGGGAAGTGCAGGACACTGGTAGCTCTTCATGTGTTGAAGAGAATTGTGGAAATATTGTGGTCTCAAGGCATTGTCTCGAACCCCCGTTTGACAGATTAGCCTTCTCTAATATAATGTATACCCAGCTGCAAAAAACTAAGTGGCTTGCTTCATTAGGTGGGTATAGTTGATGCGTTTTGGCTGTTAAACCATATTACGTAAAAGCAGTTAGTAAGCTGTTTTTTACTCACAAACTATGTTCAAACATAGTTTGAATACTATGTAATTTATGATTTCTTGACTGTTTTGTTTGAATATTGTATAATAACATTAAATAAATTGCTATTAAACCATTTATCCAAGAAATGTCGAACAGTTAAAAATAGTTAATAACAATTAGATGGCATAACAACTAACATCTTAAACATTTTGATGAGCAAAAATTTGCCCATTTCTCACACGGACATTTACTTTCAGTCATTTACGTTTGTAACCACTATATATGTCTGATATCTACAACCACAGCACAAATTTGTATCGATAACAAAATCACAGCTCGTGAAAGTGATACGTTATTACTTTAATGTCTAACAGAAATACAATTATTTTCCTCTTGTTTAGTTCACTTGCAAAACGTAGTTTGTAAATGAAATATTATTTTTGTTACGCAATTAATACTTTAGCAAAAAAAAAATATCTAAGCATAAATTGAGATATGCTTGTAATTTTGGATTAATATTATTTCCAAATTATATATATATATATATATATATATATATATATA